TCCGTGGGGGCTTCCCAATGGCCGGGAAGGATGAAGTCAGGGGATGGCTTGCCTGCATGTGGTGGTGTTCAGGCAGCACTTTTTCAGGGCACCTTGAGGGCAGCCTGAATTCAAGGAAGATGAATTTTTTTCCTGGTAGTACTCCAGGAACCGGAGCCTTTCAAAACGACATGACATCATCTTTGGCCTTCAGAATTTTGAATTAAGCAAGAGGCTTTGGCCTGTCCAGAGAACTAGGGTTAGATTCAGAGGATGTCTTGAAACTGATGTCAAAAGCAGAAGCCAAGCAACTTCTCCCAGATGAAAAAAGAATGGGCTTGTTTCACCTATGGGCCAGAGGAGGCTGATGCTGACATTCTTAGAAAGCCACCCTCTGCATAGTCTTCTGCTTTTAGAATAAGATTTACTTAAGACCCTTGTCCCTACTCTACCTCCTAAGAATTGCCTCTGGCTAGCCATTAAACGGTGAGCCAAACGGAAATCACTTTAGCAAACCGCTCTCAACATGCTGCATCCCAAGCTACTCGGAGAGCTTTAATTGCTTCACCAGACTGACAGCTTCCTTAGCTCACTGGGCAAAGCTTTATCCCGTGCGCCTCTTCAACTGTAGGTCACCCCGTCCGACTGCGAGTGAAGGGTCCTCACTACCAACCAATGTGATTCCCAGGACATTGGTTTTGAGACAATCAAATCCATTTAATCCAATTATGATTGCTAACGAAGAGATACCACTTGCATTGAAGAAAAGGCAGAGGAGGCAAAGAGAATGAAAAAAAAAAGTAGCTTTTAGTCAAAATCTAAAAAGGCTTAAAATAAAACTTCTGTGCTTTCTTTCTTTTTTTTTAATTCAATTTGAGGGTTGTGAAGGACTGAAATGAAATAATCTATAATCCGCAATTCAAACCAGAAGGTTTGGAATAGTTTATAACCACAAACAAAAACAAGCCCATTATGATGGCCTCTTTTTATAACCAGAAAGGATTCCAGAGAGAGGTCTTTATCCAATCACAAGTTACCAGCAGATGCAATACATCTCCAAATGTCATACTTGGCAAGTCTTGACTCTTGCTGAATATTTATCCTCATGTAGACTTCTTAACCCATCCTCAAAGTTCATGCATTTTTCTCAAGAATCAATAATAATAATAATAAAATTCTCAACCAATTCATGCATAAGGCAAAGTTCATACTAGGTACAAAATGATTACAAGGTACTAATTGATTACAAGAGCTAATTGAAAGGTACTACTAATGGATGTAGGTTATTACTGGAGCCTAGTTCTAACACATCATCCCAAATACAGAGACGTCATCGGAGGATGTAAGAGGTTGCTGGGAATGGAAGGTACAAAGGATGGGTATTTATTGATCTTTTGCCTTCCAGAGGGGTTTGGAAGTTCAGGCCTTTGCACACAACATCCTCAGTGAGTCAGAATGTGAGGAACATCATGGTCGCTACAGTCCGCCCTTCTCGCTGGGCCCAGCTTTCTCATTGGTCAAATCTGGTTGAGAGTAGGGCAAGCAACCTTTGTTTTGCAGAAAAAAGACAACTAAAGACAACACCTCAGACACACCCCTTTCCTTGTTCAAGTGAAACTAGTGCATAAAGGAAAGGAAAGACTGCTCTCAGAACTTAAGAGGACATTGTATTGAATGGAAAAATACTTGTCAGAAACCTGGTGCCGTTCGGAGCCAAGCAAACCTTAATGCTCTGGCATGTTTTTATAGCAGCAGCATGGAGACAATGTTCTATTATTTGATACTTGATATTGATGTGCGTGACATGTTGAAGCCAAGAACCATGGGGTCCAGTGAGTGTTGATAACCATTGCTACCACTGGCTTTAATTAGCATTGCCTGGGAACCTTCCATCAATCAATCAAAGAGTCTGGTTCGCTGGCCCCAGTAAAGTAAATATCTTTATGTCTCTAGGGGGAATGGGACTAGACAACTACATATCCTTTAAAGTTCCTCATGGCAAACCCCAGCACCAGCTCTTGGATTAGCCTTAGGGAATCACTGATTTAGAAGATTCTAAGATCTCTTTTGAACTCTAAATGATTACCAGTCCACACTTGCTTCTGATATCAGATAATCTCACAGATATGTGTCCTCTAGTAATTTTATGATCAGAAGTTAAATTCTCAGACTTTGAGTGTCATTTGTACATCTCTTGGATTAACTTCAAAATCAAATTTCAAAACACACCACCAAAAATTCACAAGGTTCATCAGCATAAAGGATGGGGGAGAGTGGCAAGCTTCAGTGCCTACACAGTCAACAGGTAGGATAAAGACTTTTATTTTGAAAATTAAGAGAAAATCTTGCTTCAAAAACACTCTTCAGGTTAGACAGAAATCTCACCTGTGGGCTTATACCTAGTCCATGAGCATAGATGGGAATTGTATATTAGGATGCCTACCTAGATACACTGCCTGACATGACGAGAGGCATTCAAGAAAAACAAGCACAAACGTGAACTCAGCAAATGATGAGCAAGACGGCAGGTGAGTGGAGAGGTAAGGAGGAAAGGCCCACAGAGGGCACCAGTCCTCGTCTGAAGGGATCTGAGGCTCATAAGCAGATGGAAGGCTGATTTCAATATGGCTCCCCCTGGTCCCGCAACCAGACTCTTCACCTACATACACACACCAGAGCAGAACAAATAGCACAGCACCACTCTTAGCGTGTTAACAGCCTTCTGAGCAGGCCCTTCCCCATGCTTACTGAGTCCTCTCAGGGCCCAGCATTTCACAGACTTCCTTCGTCAGCACCATCTTCCTCCCATCCCTCTGGAGACCCCCATTTGTGTTTGCTCATTCCATCCCTCTGGGCATTCTAAGTGACTCAAACGCTACCTAACTTTCTCCTAATTCCACACTTCCAACCGCGACTCCCCATTTGATTCTCTTCCTACAAGACCACAATCGTCTCTCTCTAGCTCCATCAGTCCCACAAGACTTTCCTCGACCAGCATCAGAGCCCTCTTGCCTTCCTCTCATTTCTACTGGAAGCAGTGTCCGTGCCGAGGGCATGGAAAGTCACGCCCTTGTCAAGAATTTTAATCATCACAGACTCAAGATGGTAAGCAACTAAAGAGTCAACCACCAGCCTAGACACTTTCACATCTGCCTCGCACACAGCAAGGTCCTCAGTACACGTGTGGTCAGGTGAGTTGCTAACTGTGGAGTCATTCATGCACACGCTCCAAAACAGAAAAGGGACCCTTGGTTGGAGGAGTCTGACCCTGATGCTGTGAAATGTATCAAAAGTTTCTTGCGTGTACGATGAGGGGGTTGCAGAAAGTTCATAGGAGAAAATGGAATTAAGAAACAATGGATTTTCCACGAACCTTTTGAAACCCCTTGTATACCATCTTGCTGTTGGATGGCCATCAAATAAGAAAGAGAAAAGAAAAGAAAAAAACCAGGAAAGCAGGAAAAACTGATTCTGCGACATTTGTGGGCACTCTCCCTATCAAGTCCCTGGCTTTAAAGAGACATTTCATAATTTTGTGCAATACCATGTAACTATCTGCAGTCGCAGTTCATAAAAAATGTGCACTCCTATGCATAACAATCAAAGTCTGGGTTATGGGGTTGATTTCTGAATTTATGAGACTAACCCTGAATGAGTTATCATTTTCTGCACATGGGTGAAAGCTATAATTAGTTCAGGATTTTACAAAAGTATGAGCTACAGTGGTAAGGAGTCAATCTCTTTGTCTTATCAACAGAGCAAACCAAGTGAAAAATTACATTATTTATTTGTATCTAAGACACTTGATAAAATAAATATTTCAAGTCAATTCATGTCTGGGAAATACACATTTTATAGGTACTTGGTATACTATATTCCCTTATAAACCATAGAGACCCTATATATTAAACAGCATTTGGTACGCATATATATTTACATAAAAATGGTTATAGTCAGAGTTCATGGAAAATCTCTCTCTTTAAAAGACCAGATTATCTGAACACCACAATGCTTGCCACCTTGTTCCCCACCCCAGCTCCTGCCATCAGATCGCTGGGTTAGGTTGTGGGACAATATGCTTTGTCTGGCAAGAAACACTGGCTATTCCCTTTCAGCTATAATAATTTCATCTTCTTGATTTTGTGTCTCTTACTGTCATTTTACTAGAGCACAGAGATATCCCAGATTACTTCATAAGGAAAGGGAAAAATAATTTCTTATTCAATTGCAGAAGAAACTGCACAAGTTAATCTGATCACTGTGTGGAGGAGAAAATATTTCCAATGACGACATCTTCCTAAGTCAACCGATTTTATTACAGATGTCATCTCCCTGTGCTACATTAATGCAGCTCTTTCTTCTTACTTCAAGATTTTAATCTTAGTTTGTTGTGCTAACATTTTACTGGTTGAAAATACATGCTGTAAAATCCACGGCCATCAAATTTTCCTGTGGGCTAAAAATAACCCGTTCCTGTCAGTTAGAATTAGCTGATAAAGAGTGTCAGAGACTGTTCTGAATAAGTTTGATAACTTCCTGTTTACGTGGCATTGACCCTTGTCTAATAAAGCTTCTTTGCCTTAGAATGAGAGAAGATTCTGCTGCATTCTATTCCTTAATGGCCAATACTGATTACTTTTGAAAGCCTTTAATACATTTCCCATATTAGACATGAACAGATGTCAGGTATGTTGCCAAGGGAAATTTCTTTTATGCAATCCTGGCTTGTTGTACAATAATAGCCCTTTCTCAACATGGGAAAAAATTACAGACCCAACTAATTTCCCTGACAGGGGAGAGTTACATATGTTTTCCACTTGTAGTTTTTACGACAAGTTTGCAATTTTGCCAAACCTGGAACTAATTGGGACTGTTTCCAAAACCGGCCCAATAAACCCCCAAAGTGTAGAGTCATTTGAAAAGGCAGTCAATGATGTTTGCTTTTCTCCATTTTGGTAGAGGGTGGGAGGGGGCAGAGTCAGATTGCAAAATTATTTCATTTAAGTTGCTTAAACACTTACTGTTTCATATCCTCCCAGTTTTTGAGCAGCTTGAAACATAGTCCAAAGGTTAACTGTTAGAGGGACAATAAGTATTTAGATAAGCATTGCATTAACATATTTCCAAAAGATGTCAATTAAAACATTTTGTTTTGTTTTTCGATGAGAAAGATTTAAGAAAAAGAAAAGGAAAGAAAAAGAAATACTAACGTACCCCAGGGAATTAAGTTCTTAGGAAACAATTTGCCAAAGGGCATTCAACAACAGGATATATTATTACTACTTAAAATATTTCTTATGAAACAGTCACAAAGCTACGGAAATGGTTCTACTTTTAGGATAAAGGACAACACAATTTCAGCCCTGTTGCCATCAACAAAGCAAAGAAAATTAAGCTGGATGGCCCCTGGGAAAAAAGTGCGTGATATCCAAATTGGGCTTGGTTTTGTTCAACCTTTAGAAAGAAGGCATTGATTAAAGGATAATATATAATGCTTCCCTTACATAAGACATTTCCACAATGAATAAATCATATCCAATCCAATATATGATTACTTCAATAATTGGACATCTGATGGGCAGCACTATATTAAAGCCTCCTATCATATTTCAGTAACCACGTGGTGTCTTCCAATAACTGGGAAAACACATCTTTCAAACAGGAGGTGGAAGTGATGTAACAGATCACAGGGAGCTGAGGAAGACATTCGCTCACAAAGGAACTGAACAGTGAGCCAAATGGCCCCCGGATTTAACTGTGCACCGATAGACATACACACAGAAATATGTATACATCTACATATACACTACATGGCAGGCTTCTCTTTACAGAGTTTGCGATGATTTTGCTGCTAAACAACTATTCCAAATTGCCAGCAACCCTGCTCATTTGTACCAAATTCCAAGGATAATGGGGCTGCTATGAATTTGATTATTTTACAAGGGGAGAAAATTGAACTTCAAATAATTCCTTGGCAAAGGAAATGAAGAATAAAGCGAAAATAATAGTATATATTTTTAAAAAGGTTGTTTGACACAACACGTTCTCAAAGCCTCACTGAACCTTGTACTGTTTCAAAGCTATCAAGAACCCTGCCTCGGCCTTGATTTAATCTGAACCAATGCATAATGCAACAAAGCTGTTCATAGTACATTAATTTTACTTCTATTTCAAGCAACCAGTTTTCAGACAAACATTGTAATCATTCCTAGTTATATAAGTTTATAATGGCTGCGAGTGTTCTGTGGCAATCAGTGCCAATTGCTATTAGGTATGTAAATTGTTATGTAAAGCATACAGGCTTGACATTCTTCATCAAAATGACACATGGTTTTAATCTAGGAAGATACGTTTGGAGAAAATAATATTTCAAGCCAGGGGCTCATCGCTTTGTGTGTCACTAAATCCAGACCGAGGCAAATATATATTCAATTGCAAACTCAGCCGAAGGTCTGGGTTTCTTCTCTTTTATAAGGAATTCTGCTCAGCTCTGCATCCCTGGCTCTACTTACAAATAGACAATGGCACGTAAAATGTACATGTCAAAGCCGCTAAAAATAGGGCCCCTGCTCGAGCCCGTATTTCTTGTTTCCTCTGAAGCCAGATCTTTATCTTTGAACACGTTTGGGTTTCGGGAATATGTTTTCTCTCTGGGGTTGTTTTGTCCACCTTTAAAGGTCCTCCTCTGAAAAGCAGCCTTTCCACAGGCAACATCTGCGCCTGATCAAGCTACGTCATGGGATTATCTCAGAAGAAAGGCGTTAGGGACATGCAAGATTGACAAAACAGAAAATGAGAGACTTTCAACATGTCCATTTCCAGTCATCATCAGTGGCTTTGAGCCCATAAATATCTCCCTGCAACTGCCCCCCAGCAGGGAACAATGCAACAGAAAGAGGCAGGAGAGAAAGGCTTGCTTTGGACAACTTTTAGACTCAGTCTAAACATAGGGCACCAGCCCCAAGTTAGGATTTCAACATTAATCCCTTGGGTCACCCCCACCACCACTACCCCCCTTCAAGTCAAAGAATCAGATCCGTTTTGATATCTTCGAAATGAAAACAAGTGTACTTACTCTGTTTAAAACCTAAATAGGGGATCCGTTCTATGGGCGTCTTCCTTTCTTTCATGTATTTATAAAGGGCCACGAGGAAAGCCTGCTCCTCCGCCCTGCACTCCTCACCAATGGAGACCTTTGGTTTTTCTTCATTGGAGCCTTTCTTACAGTTATTATGGTTATTCTTCGGCTTGGTCAAGGCTGACCTGGCCTCACATTTCACCTGCAAGAGAGAAAAGGTGGCACGTGGAGTGACGCCCAGGCTGCAATGCTTACAGACACCACGCCGAGCACTGGCCGTCGCGGACTGGGAAGGCAGAGCCGACTAGTCAGTCCTCCCTGTCTGAGAGTCACCCCTAAAAGACATTGCTCTCTGTGAACGGTCTTAGACCAAGCTGTCTGCAGGCGGCCATGGAGTTGAAAAAAGATGGTCTTTTAAGCGACCCAGCCACGGTCACATGACTCAACTCTTCTGGTGTAGTGTAAAAAGCACTCATAGACAGCATGGAAACAGATGGGCAAGGTATTTCTAAAAAAAAAAAAACAACAACAACCCTTTATTTGTAGGAACAAATGGCCAGGGGGCTGTGGTTTAGCAACTTTCTTTAAGACTCCACAGGTAGGTGGACGTGAAGCCAAGCAACACTGTTTGATCTGGGTGGGTTCATGCTTCTCCTTGGACAAATCCCGCCTTCCTAGCACACAGTCCTATACTGGGCACTTTGAATCAAAATGACAGGCCAGTTTAGTTCTTCATAAGCAACTCAACTTGTTGATACTCTCTCTAGCAACCTCGAAAAGCACAAGTGTGTTAATGCCAGGAAATACTGGCGTCAGGCAGGGAAGTAGCATTCCAGCTACCTCTGGCCCTCGGGCGATGCCCTGACACACAGGCCTAGCAGGATGCAACATGACAGCTTCTCGCTTTGGAGTCAGTTCTGGAAATACTAAACAACAACAACAAACAGTTGTTGTTGAGGTGACGTCAACTCATGCTGTCCCTGACTCATGGCGGCCCCAGGTGTCTCAGACTAGAGCTATTCTCCAGCAAATTTTCATGGCTGCCTTTTCAAAGTGCATCTTTTTTCCAAGGCACCTACCTGGTGGGGGCAGAAGGGGGTATGGGGCGGGGGCAGGGTTGGGACCTCCAGGCTCTTGGTTAGCGGCTGAGTGTATTAACTGTACCGCCCAGGGATGAAAGGGAAGAGACCAGCTAAAAGTGCCAGTGAGAAGCTCCACGATTGACAAACAAATGGTGGTAAGCAGGCCAGATACTCTGCCTTGCACACTAGCCAAGAACACAGAGCGGGGCATAGCAGGCTGCCAACCTAATGTTCCCTCCTCGCTGGCCATGTTCTCCAGGAGGCCTTTGATAGTTGTTAAATACACCGCTAAGTTACTGAGCTATTTTAATTGTAAGAAGGGAAAGTACAAAGGGTCAGGCCTAAGAGTTCACGCAAACCCACGGGAAATGCGTACATTCCAATATTCTGTACATCTCCACTCGATGGGAGAAGTGGACAAGTGTTGGAGACAAGGGATGAATAAAATTGCCCCGCACAGTCTTCAGCATGCCCCTTTCCACATCATCACCCTTCTTTTACCCTCTCCCCGCAAATCTTCTTTCCCAAGCACTGAAGCACATAAAAAGTGCCGCTTATTTATTAAAGGGGGAAGCATCCTCTATAAGGGCTCCCATTATCGCTTATTCGCTCAAATGAACACACTAGTTTAATATCTTTATTCTGGTCCTGGAAAGACAAAATCCCCTGCACAACTCATTGCACTGGGCCTCTAGGTAAGATTTTAATTTGTGAAGGACTGTAGAAATGGGATGAAAGTCCTTTTCCATGTAAATATTCTTATTTACAGGATTTTCAAACTTGAATGCATTGCACCATGACCTTAAGATGAACATCTTGTAAAATGTGATGCTGTCATTTTTCACAGCTGGATTTTAGGTTGTTGGGTCTAAAGGGCTAATGAAATGTATAATTTAATGGATTAAAAAACAACAACCATAAAGTCACTCCACTTCCCATCTGTATTTGCCCACTGGCCTTTTGTGAGCACACCCAGACCTCAGAGGTATTGTGGGTTTGGCTTCAGACTTGCAATATAGCAAATATTGCAATAAAGCAAATATGGCAGGTCACACGCACTTTACCCCCAAGGGCACACAAAAGCTACGTTTACCCTATGTTGCAGTCTAGCAAGTACCCAAAAGCATTATGAAGAAGTTAGAAATATTGTGAGAATGACCAAAACGTGACACAGAAACAAGCAGGGAGCGCCTGCTATGGGGAAAATGGCGCCCCAAATGGCCTTGGTCAGCTCAGGCAGTGTTGGCCCCATCCTTCAATGTGTACAAAACAGTCTCTGTAAAACGCAATGAAATAACGCACGCGGAAAAGGAGACCAGCCTGCACTTATTATGTCGCCTGTTCTAACCATTTTGGTTGTATTATTTAATTTCATGCTCATCAAACTTATGAGCCTGATAGGAGGGTGAGGCTTCAGTACAGAGAGGATGAGTAACGTATACCGGATCATCCAGTTAACATGTACTGAGTATGAGATATGGACCAGATAAGGGTAGTTTACAACTTGAGGGGTTCTAATTCAACAACTGCTGTCAATTTGTTCTGACTGAAGTAGAATACCTTTTTAAAAACTTTTATTATAAATATCCTTATAAATCTGATATTTTAACATTTCAAGAAATATCAGCAAATTAGGTGCTACAAGATTGTATGAAGTATTACTAATTACAAGATGTACAACCCCCCCCTTCCCTTCCCCTCCCCAAACCTAAAGCCAGGTGGTAGTTAAGTGTGGCGTGTGGTAACTCAAAAGGCCAGGGATGACATGTACTCTACTCCTAGGGGGGGCCTGGTAATTCTAAACACTGTATGACAGAGACTCTAAAAACATGGCTACAAAATCACAGCGAACTTTGAAAACGAAATTCTCAAGATGTGGTTATTGTTTCTCAACATAACCTCCATGAGGGTTTACACACTTAGGATGGTGCTGGCTCCCTGTCTCGAAGCCTCCCTGAGGAATTCTGTGCTCTTCAATTCACTCCTTGTTGGAAAGGCAGTTTGGGTTTCTTCGAGGGGCTCAAACCATCTTCCTTTGAAATGTCCTTTAAGTTTGGGGAGAGAGTGAAGTATGGAGGGACAAGAGCAGGGCTGTCAGGTGGACGGGGCAAGGATTTCCGGTAAAATTCTCCTAAGAGAGCTCTGAGCAGGTATACTGTCATGAAAGGACAATTCCTGGGTGCAGACTTTCCTGGCATTTTCCTTGCCCATGCAGTTTTCGCTGGTCTTAGAATTTCTTCTGAATTAAGCATTTGTCATCGGCCTGTGTCCTTCAAGAAAATGTATTCAAGACTATCCCTAAGGAATCCCCAAACACAGTTGACATAACCTTCAGAGGTGACCTGCCTGGAACTTAATGGGTCCAGCAGGTCCCCTTCATGGGCCCGGCAGAGCCACTCTTTTATGGGACCTTTTTGGGAAGGTGCCCTCATGAGACTAAGACAAGGGAATTCGTGGGAGAACTGGCCTTCAGCCAGCCATTGGTGGCAGAGGCGTGTTTAAACGCGTTTGGTTTGGAATGAACCCAGTGCATGGGTGAGTGGGAACCCTCATAGCAGTATTTTCTGACTTACCTTGCACTTTAAGTGAAACTTAACCAAGCTATTAAGTTAGTGGTCAAAACGCCCCTTAAAAAGCCTGTCTTCCCTTATTGAAGGGTTGTGGGGAGGTGACGAGACAATCAGGGTGCAGGGCAGCAACGATGAAACATATAACTTTCCTCTAGTTCTTAAATGCCCCCACTATCATGATCCCAATTCTACCTTACAAATCTGGCTAGACCAGAGGATGTACATTGGTACAGATAGCAACTGGAAACACAGGGAATCCAGGACAGATGACTCCTTCAGGACCAGTGGTGAGAGGGGCGATGCCTGGAGGGTGAAGGGAATGTGGGGTAGAAAGAGGGAACAGATTACAAGAATCTAGGTATTGCCTCCTCCCTGGGGGAGGGACAGCAGAGAAGAGGGGAGGGGGACATCAGACAGTGTAACTTATGACACAACTATAATAAGTTATGAATTATGAAGGGTTCATTGGGGAGGGGAGAGGAGGTAGGGAGGAGGAAAATGAGCAACTGATATTAGGGGCTAAAGTGGAAGGCAAATGTTTTGAGAATGATGAGGGCAACAAATGTACATATGTGCTTGACACAATGGATGGATGTATGGATTGTGATAAGAATTGTACGAGCCCCCAATAAAGTAATTTAAAAAAAAAAGCTTGTCTTAATTCTAGGCACTAGAAAGCATAAAGCTTAGAAATGTGAATTACATAGTACACAAAACTAGGTGATTCCCAAAGTTTCAAAGAAGATCCTGCCTTCCCTAATATATTGACCAGAAGGGCAGAGACCAATACTGACTGAACTCCTACATGGGCTTTAGTATAGTGCCGTAGGCTCTACGAAATCCACTCTGATGTTCACAGGAACCCTAAAAGGGAGGAAGCATGCAGTCCTGTTTCCTAGTAAGGACACTGAAGCTCAGCAAGGCTATTTAACTTACAGAAGGCTGAGGAGGGGCAGAGCTCTGGGTTTAGAACTCAGGTCTGCCTGTCTCCACAGCCTGTTTTGGTCCATATAGCGGAAGATCTGAGCTGTGTATGCTCAGTTTGAGCTGTCTGTAAGTCATTTGTAGGGGTCATGGGGCAATTATCTAAGCCATTAGGTCAAAAGCCCCACTGTTACGGGTGGAGGAGGTTTTCCCTCCATGTTCTGAGGGCTGTAAGCTTCACATCACCTGCACAGAAACACCCAAAGCAGAAGTGACCTCTCGCTGTTTTTCACATTTACTCAAAACATTCTCAACATTTTAGGGCAAGAGTTCCCACCCCACAAATTACTGAATTATGATAGCGCAGGTGTCCACAGAAATAGGAGCCAGTCTTCCTGGAGCCCTTGGGAGAGCTGACCTTCTAGGTGCCGACAGTCGATGACAAGATCGGTTTCCCAGAGCCTGCAAACCACACCTGTTGAGTTCACACAGTGCTTTGGAGTTTCTGAAGAACAGTACATCCAAGGGGAAGAAGTGCTAATTAAAGCGTCCACATTTCACATTCTCAGTGAACCACCATTTAGTTGATATTAACCACATCCTTCCACAGGATTGAGTTTGAACGAAATTGCCTCCAACCAGGGCATCAAGATGTACTGGACGAGCAATAAAGAAGCTAGACAGTTCATTTCTATCTGGTCACTAATTAGCTAGGTGACCACCTCAGTAGCTAGGTTTGTCCTCAGTAAAATAGGAAGGACAACACCTGGAGGGGCTGAGGGGGGGGGAGGGATTGTTCCAAGGATGGTGGAAGGATAACATTTGTGAAATATTGAAAGTATGTTTGTGATTTACATTTTTTAAAAACCACATTGTTGATGTTAGTATAGAAGCCACCTGTCATGCATTCAAGGAGCCCAGATAGTACTGTCCAGTAAGCTTTGGGCTGCTAAGCTTAAGGTAGGCAGTTCAAACCCACCAGCCGACCTGTGGGAGAAAGTTGAAGTTATCTACTCCCATAAAGACTTGTAGTCTCGAAACCCTCACTATGAGTCAGAACTGACTATGCAAGTGGTTTGAGTTTTGCTTATACACGTCTGACCTTGGAAAAATACTTAGCGGATAGGAGAAATCATGTGTCTTCACCCACACAGGTTTCATTTGAGACCTGGGCCAAGAAGATTCCTTTTCTATAGACCCCCCTGCAAACAAGCCAGGACTCTGGATCTGCTGCTGTCAGCCAGGTCCCGAGAAAGAGCAAGGCTTGGACACAGCCATGACATCCTTCAGCAGTCTCTTTTTGCAATCTTGAGAAGCCATCCAAATCTCCCGCCCTTATAAAACAGGGTCAGTCAGTGTTGGTTTTCAAGATGTCATTGAGAGAGAAGAACCTGCGGGGGTGACGGGCTTCATTTGCTTTTGCACTCCTGGGCACTGCAAGTCCAGCGGAGGGACCCTTATTCTCAGATCTTCGCTGTGTGGTGCAGTGAACGCTGTCTTTTTCCAGAGTGAGAGATGCTGATGGTGGCACATGCGACAAAACGGTCATACAGGTTTGGTCACAAAGTTCAACCATTCACTTTCCTCTAAAAGGTTGCTGCCAGCTCAGCCAATGGTCAGGTGGTCTCAGGTGTGTAATCTCCCCCGGAGCATGTCAGGAGAACACTTTAAGACTCGAACAAGTGTTTGATGTCTTTTTTGGCCTCACACTTGGCTTGGCCCTTTCGTGGGGTTTTTCATCTCCCTGTTGGTGCAAACTGTCAAGCCCACCATACTTCAAATCAGCCAATCATCCCTTTCTAGGGGAAACCGTCTTGCCAGATCCACTGCAAATGATGACATCAGTATTGTAATCCACAACTTTGAGAAGAGCAGGCTGATTAGGCAAGTTCCCAGAAGCTGCAGGCAACATAATCCGACCCGCTTTCACCACTGAACACCAACAAGGGGGACAACAGCCCAGGTCTTCGTAAAGATCCAGGCTTGACTATTATTTTTCCTTCAGAAGAAAAGTCAGTGAACCTCAACTACAGCCCATGTGGACAGCAGGCTGCTTGCTGTTGGCTTCATTTGGAGGATCTGAGTATGAGTCCTGAGCTCCCTTCCATGGAAAGGAATATCGGAGGTGCTGTTGCTCATATGAATTTTATGAGTTTCATAAAATTCCCCAAGGCCTGCTTTGGTAGTGACTCCAAATGACTTGGGAAGGAGCTTCATCTTGCTGGGCTCAGGTACAGAACACTCTGCAGTGAATACATGACACCATCCTAAAGGTATGAGGCGGGATGCCAACAAAAGACCTCACTCATGCAAGCTTGGCCAAATGCTCTAGTCTTAAGACCTTCTCCCTCCATTCTGCAGTATCGTGCAGGAGACTTCAAACCACATCAGAGGGTTCCTGTTGACATCCTTCAAGACCCAAGTCAAAGGTAGTCTAAAAGATGTCTTTCTTGGGATCCATGTGAATTCACTCCCAGAATGTTAAAAGAGCATAACAAACATAGCTTTCAGCAAAGGCGGATTTGCTTTTAACAACAAAATGGAAAAGACACAGTTACTTGTTGATCTTGTCTTAACTTTTTGCAATCGTCGAAGTGCAAAACTCTTAACCCCAAAGTCTTCAAGGTTCCCTATGAGGCCATCATATTGGAAGATGAGGTTTTGAGCCTGTAAATGTCTAGGGTTTACTTCACTGCCAGGGGAGGCGAGTGCTGTGGGCGCACATTAGACTGTCCATCCGCGACTGGGTTCCTGTGTTTCTAGGTAAGATTCATCCACATTCTTCTCATGCTTCATCGAAATGCTTCTATGTTCAGATGTTTACTCCACGGATCTGGAAACATGGTGCCAGTTGACATGCGGTCTTCAAATTAGGGTCTAGAGGAGCTATTGCTGACTTTGGCACAGAAACACCTAAATGCTAGCACCCACTAAATGGAACTGTGGACATTTGAGCCACGCACACAAAAGTCAAAAGAGATAAGTCTGAAAATATGAAACGACACTTAACCCTTCCTGGTGGCTAAAGATTTCAGGCATGCGCTCTCAAGATTCCAAGAAATGTTTACACAAATGTGGGGGCCCTAAAAATACACTAGGATTTGGGCTTGTACTGGACATTAATAGCGATCTTTTGTAAAACATACAAAGACATATGTCTATATGTATATATGGGGGACCTTCTAAAAGTTTGTGGGGAAATCCCATCATCTTTTAATTCCTTTACCTATAGACTTTTTGAAGTCCCCGCCCATACATGTACCATATATCTATGTATATACACACACGCATTATCTATATAACACACATACACACACACAACCTTTCTATGTGCCTTTCGTTTTACTTTAGGAATACATTAGAGGTGACTTTGCAAAAGCGGAAGGAAAAAGATCAATTCTCACCGTCCCCAAGTTCATCCTCTGATCATCTCTGAAACCTATTTAGAGGCATGCACTCAGAAAGAGGACGGTTCAGCCAGTCTATTTTTGATCTGGGCAGAGTAAACCATGTCATTGTGTCACCTACTATGAAATCCCGAGCCTCAATGACGTGGGCGCTTAATCATCTGTCCTTTACCCAACAGGCCTAGTTGGGCGGTGGGCAGTCTTTCTGTTGACTAATCATAATGCTTACGCCTCCCCTTATACACCCCACACACCGGGGGAGGGGAGGGGAGGAGCTGGGAAGAGACACAGCAGAGCGGTGCAATACCCAAGTCAGAATCGCAATCAAAAATTGCCAGCAAGACACAGGAGCAAAGCAAGCTGGAAGGGGGGGGCGGGGTCTGGGGAGATGCAGTCAAATGAATGCCATGGAATGAATGACTGTACCTTGGCAACGGCTTTGCCATCGGAATTATTGTTGGAATCCTTAGTGCCACTGAATGAGTCTCTTCTCTGTGGGCATGATTTCTTTTTGCGTGGTCTGCCTTTAAGATTTGGCGCTGAAAACAAATGGAGAACAATTTACAGACATTGTATTTGCATGGGTTTCCTTTTTAAAGACCGAGCATCAGACTGTGTGGTTCCCTCTAATCGTGCTGAGAAATGTACAGACTGGCAGGCAAAAACCTCACTTTTATACACTTCCCTCCGTGAGATCATGGTAGATGTTACATTTCTGTACTGTGTTTCCCTAAGAGAATCTATTACACTTTAACCTGTCCAACCAATACCAATAAAACGAAACTCTTAGTTCTAAAGAATGATACCAAAGAAAATGCGCTGTCCTGTCTTAGAAAAGAAACATCTTGAATCGAAAGACAACCCTGAGCCAGGCTCTGAGATCACTCTTGGTTTTTCTTACATTGGATTCTGTTTTCAGAAACCTAAGTGATACGCTGACCCAAGACGGTAAGTAACCTATGTAAACATCTCACTCGGAAGGCATTTGGAGACATCAAATTATGTGAGAGATAAGGTGGTCAGATGGCTATTTAGAGAAGCATTCACAGCAACAATCTGAAAAAATAGCCTCACATGTATTTACTAATAATACTGCAAGCAGCACGTTCCAAATCTCAACCAATCTGGCAGATACATTTAAACCAGCACGCCTTCGATTCTTTTTAAATGTATTGACTTATGAAAACTTTGAGGGCTATTTAAAATTATTCCCAAAGATCACACCATGGTCAGGCTGATTCTGTAGGGGTTTTCACTTTTTAAAAGCTGTAGATTGAAGATGCAAATCAAAGTTGTAGTTCATCCTTGATGCTGAGTTTGACATACACACACACACACACACACACACACACACACACACACACACACACACAGCTGCTGTTTATCATTCAATATTCGCCTCTCCGCCTCTCCGGGATCAACTTTCACATTTAACTTCATCAGTCACCCAAGTCAAGCAAAACTTAAAACCAGCCAACGCGCCAGCCAGCGCCTGAACAATACCAAACTAACGAATCACACATCCCAGCCAACGTATTTCAAACTTTCCCAAGTCACCACACTTTTATTATTATTACGTTCGGGTCGGATTATGACAGCGCCAACCCAGATCAACACAAACGCTCGTGGCTGTTGTTAATCTTACTTCAGTCGCGTAGTTAGCCAGTGGGTTCGGGACATGTCCCAGGGTGCTCATTTTACCCACGCAATTAATCCCACTCCTTTGCCCTTCTGCTGCGGATGGCCACAGCGTGCCCTTGGTCGATAGAGCTCAGCAAAGCAGCGTTGCCTCCACGGTCCGATCGCAGAGGCCGAAGTTTCCCCGGAGCGCAGGCTTTCCCTCCCCAAAGCGCTCTCCTCCCAGCTCCCGAACATTCCTCCGAACGAACTGCCCTGAGAGCCAGCCGGGAAAGAGCAAAGGGAAACCAGCTCCCCAAAGCAACCCCAGCGAAGAGAAGAGTGGCGATTACCCATTCCAGTCGACCACCATCTGCCTGACGGATGCCTGTGCTCAGGAACGCCCCGGCCTGGGACTGCGCCGCCGCCACATCCCTGGATGTCAGCTTTCCTCCGAATGAGCGCGGCGCGCCCGGGCGCGCTGCTCCCAGCCCCCTTCCCCCCGCGGCTCCATTACTCATGTAAACACACCGCGGTGACTAGCGCCCAGAGTGTGTGGGATGCGCGCGGGGGACTAAGCCGGAGTTGCCAGACTGGCAGGGAGGGCCCGGCCCTCGCCACCTCCCCTCGCGGGGCTGGTGATTTCATCCGGCGTGTTTGTGGCTCCTGACCTCTGACTCCCCTGGCACAACTCGATGCTGTGTGTGCCCTGGAGCCTGGGCGTGGACCCGGTCGTCTCCAAGACTTGGGGGAGCACAGAAGTGTTTCCACAAAGGACCCAAGTGCTAAGACTTTAATGACTGGGAGGGAAGGGATGTCCTTTCATGTTCCTTATCAAAATAATAGGTGAGCAGCGTGCTGGCAGAAAGGAACAGCGTGGGCTAGGTCGCTGGTATTTCGGGCAAAGGACCCAAACAAGACCCGGAGAGCCTCCGTTCCAAGACACAGTACTGGCACCTCCTCTTTCCTCACATTGTGGTGGAAAGCAGGTAAATGTCCGGAAAAACATTCACATCCCAAAGGCCTGAGAGAGGGATGGCGAGAGAAGAGAGAATGTCCATTGAGCATGCGAGTTTTAAAAGGAGACGAACATTCCAAGAACTGACAATCACTCGTCCCCAAATCATATCTGTTTTCTCCATTCCTTGACCTGTTTTCAGAGCCCGGAGAAGCACATGTTCTTCCGCAGCAGATTCTAAGAATTACCCATTTAGAACACAACTTTAAATGGGAGTTGATCCAGGGGTGGGGTGGGGTGGAGAGCCATTCGATCCTAATAAGGCAAGTCCACTGGTATTTCAAGTATGGCTAGGTAAATCCCACCAACCGCTCCAGGCTCCAATTCAAGTACCTCTGCGGTCACCCCTCTAAGGCTCTTTTTTCTGTCCCTCTTTGAAGGGATCACTTTATCCCTTATAATATAGTTGTGTTTATAACTGATCATCATATTAGACTGGAAAGTCTTTCAGGGCACGACCCCCCAGGTTCCTCTCTTGTCTGTCCCAGTACCATACACAGGAGCAGCATTGCATTACATGGATTTGTTGAATGAGCAGGTGACTAATGGAAATAAAGATGCCCACACACTCAGCTTTCATTTCCTCCTAAGCTGAGCCGGCCAACCCCACTATGTGGTATTCTTATCGCATTGAAGATTTGTAACACGGTATTCACCTTTGCTAGTTATTTTTAAGAGGAGGCCTGCTGGCACTGTGGAGTTAGCATGGGGTTGCTAACTGCAAGGTCAATGGTTCAAACTCACCAGTTGGACTGAGGGAGAAAGAAGAGGTTGTCTCTTCCTATAAAGATTTACAGCCTCAGAAACTCCAGTGTAGGGCCCACATGAGTCAGTATCGACTTGATGGCAGTGGGTGTGATCACTTATTCTTAAACTCTGGGAATATAAATCAGGAACTTGAGCTTGTGGTGGGAGTTGAAATAAGACAACCAAGGCCTTTGGCTCCTGACTCACAATGAAGCCATTATGTTTAGCTGTGGGGCTCGAGGCCCAGCTGAGATGCACCAATGTCCTAAAGGGCAGATATTCCAAGTCTCGGGAGTCTTGCAGCATGCAGGGCTGGGTAGGAGCCTGCATAATACAATTTGAGACTCCAAAATGTACTGTAGTGTGGTGGCCATCCCAAGGGTGGAGCAGGGCCAGGGTAGAGGGGCTGGTCTTTAATTGTTTTACATAAGCAGCACTCCCAGCTCCTTCCAGCCACCCTGGATGGATGTGTATCTAACCTGGACCTGAAAGCTAAAGGCTACACATCTACTGAGAAAAGCAAATTTCTAAGACTCTAGAATTTAAAGACCAGCTCCACTGGCTTAGAGTAGATTGATCTCTACTAGCAAAGGCCGGCAGTACATGTACTGATAGCAAAACTGGTTCTAGACAGCTGTCCGTACTAAACAAGCACAGCAATAACAGCACACTCTATGTTTGCATGTCTATAATCCACTGCCAAGCATTGGCGTGGTTCATCATGAGTCCATCAGATGTTCTTTGCACAAATGTGCATTATTAGACATACATAGTAATAATAGGTAATAAGAGCTCACACCAATCACTTTCTATGTGCCAGTCACTGGTCTAATAAGCACTTTACTGCCAGCCTCTAATTTTAAACTCACAAGAAGCCAACGAGGAAGGCGCTATTATGATCCCCACATAACAGACCAGGAAACTGAGAGACAGGTAAAAGTACTTGTCTCAGGTGCAACTGGTCACTGTAAGGAGGAGGGTTCCAGCCAAGCAATTGGACTTCATCCAATTTCCTTATCAAAAGAATAGCCCCTGGTTTCGGCAAGTTTTCTCTGACACGGGCACAGAGCCCTGCTCTCTCCCATAATGAGGATTTATATTATTAACTTGGCACCCACAGCGAACTTTCCCCAAATAAAAACACTCTCCACTAGCACATGGCACAGGGTATGGCAGCCCATTCCGGGCAGCAAACAGCACTCCTACAATGGCTGGACAGAGGGAAGGTCCCCCTCAGTCCTGAGACAAGTGTCAGGTGACAGGACTTCCACAAAGCCACAAATTCCTATAAAAAAACTAGAAACCAAGCGGCGACAGTCACACCCATGCTACCGCCTCACAGTGACCATCAGTTTTTCTGCCTAAATGGTGAAAAATCCATTTTTTTAACCTTTCCTCTTGGACAGACATGTCTTCCACAGCGCCACGGCATCCAGGGATTCCGTGCTTTTTGAAATCTCATTTTAGGCCATTTTGCTTTCTGAGCTCATACCTGCTATGGGGGACTGAATGAAATCCGAAGAGGAATTTGGCTTACCCGGAGGGGGAAAAAAAAAGGCAAAAATCTCCACCAGTATTTGGCTTTGCAGCAAACCCGGAAGAGGCAACTCACAGCCTGAGTGGCAACTATGTTCAGCCTCATAGTAGGAGGCTGCCCCCTCTTGAAACAGTGTCTGTGAACACGATACACCCAACACCACAAAACCCACTGCCACGGAGTCATTCCCACGCAAAGTGATGTGGTATTGGGTTTTTGAGGTTGTACGTCTTCGTGGGAGCAGACAACCTCATCTTTCTCCATTCGCGTGATTGGGGATTTGAAGCACCAACATTGTGGTTAGCAGCCAGCACTTAACCTACTGCACCACCAGGCCTCCCTCCTTAGGGTACTGTTATTTTAGGTTTCATGTGTTATTTGGTATGATTTGCTGGGTTATTATTGTTATTTTGTCTAGGAAGTGCTTACACTTGTTTCCCATGTAATTAACGGCAATTGCTTCTTCAGTTTACACCATTTGTGCTGATGAAAGTTTTCCTTGGAACGCCCTACTTTTGTATTTCGACCACAGCTATTTGGTTGACATGAACTTTCATGTCACTAAAAGTTCCAAGTCCACTTCAGTTTACATCTCCTCCTTTTTTAGCCGCTCAGACCAA